GGCTGTGCGCCTGAGCAATGGGTATTTCTGTTTGGGGGTCGAGTCTATCCTCCGCTCAGAGTTACAGTACCATGGCTAGTATAAAGGGCAAGGGCAGAGTAAACTGGAAAACTTACCTCCCGAATCGTTCCTTGCATTCTTGACGAACGGTCCTTAATCACAAACAGTCTTCACCTATAATCACAGATGAAAAGAATATGTGTTCGTCACCAATGCCATTAACATTAACAGTAGCATATTTGAGAATTTTCTTCCAACTTTGTACATTCACACGGCACCAAGAAAGTATATTTCCTCACGAATTTAATTACTTTCCGTCACCACTAATAACTTAATGTAAACATGTCGCCATATTGGTTATCAGTATTAATCGATTCTTCAGAAAACGATCCCCTCGAATCAGTTGAAGCAACTTGACAGCAAGGAAATACTTTCTAAACATACCGTTGAAGCCTTCGAGATGTGTCTACGTAATCCAGGTAGTGCAGTCATCTTTCGGCGTGTTCAAGAAACAATAATACGTTGCAGTAGAAACATACGTCATGTTACTTCAATATTGAGACTTGATCAGAATAATTAATTCCTAGCAGACAAGGGTTAGCGTGCTAGACTCGGATGAAGAGGGTCGTAGATCAGCTTGGATAGAGTCTGGACGTGATAGTGAAGGTATAAATTGTGTCCTTGCCGGGAATCGAACTTCAGGCACCTAGCATGTATCTATTCTTTATTGAATGGATCAATAGCCTTGAAACTGCTACATTCAAACATCTTAGCTTGTACTCTGGGAGAATCGAGGATGTGTCTAATGCATTTTACAAATACGACAGGAATATGCCCGGATATTGTAGGCCTTCTGTAACTATGAATCAGCAGTGGACAGATATATACTACAATCTCCAGGTGTCTGCCGCAGGATGCAGGCTCGAGGGGGTGAGGGACAGGTGTGTTGCTATTGCTGCCAATGACAATCGGTCCATTGACATCGTCATGTTGAGTCACGTCAACATCAAATTGTTTCGGTATGTATCTAGAGACATAAAGCGTAGAATATTTTTTTGGAAATATTGCAAAAATGAGGAGACTGTATGCGTCAAACGACGAACACAAAATTTTAAAGAATTTCGTTGTCATATGTCTGTTGAAAGAGCTGTAATCATCGTTTTATATTTCATTTCTTACTACGATCTCTATAGTGCTTCGGTGACCATAGCGCTTAGTTTTCAGGAAGCTCGAAAATGTCAAGGAATGCTAACCACTCAACCAGGACGTTCAGCGAACAATGGTGTAGAATTTGTACAAAGTTCAAAGATAGGCGTCCAACTGGTATTATCAAACTGGATGACCACATTAGAGGTTAAAGTTTTCGTAAATTGATACAAAGGCTTAATTTTTTCTCCAGAATCACATTATAGAAAACAAAAGACAAACATTTGGAATTTATTTACCATTTATTCATTAATATAATAATCTCAAAACATTATTAATTTAGTATAAAAATCGTTGATTAAATTACTTTACAGATAATCCTAAGAAATTCTTCCTTTATAACCTTAATCACTGAATTGAATAAATCTATCAGAACAAGTAACCTGAAACACTTTGTTGTTAAATGTAACACGTTAAATTGGAATACAACAATTTGAAATGGAAACAAATACTCAATGCAATTACACAAACTCTACTTTTAACTACATATATATATTTTCATATCATAAATATGACTACTAACGACTGTAGGAATGTTTCTATAATTTCAGTCACCTGTGGTGTTGGAAGAACACAAACGTGAGCTATTCACAGTGCGTGCGTCATAATGGCATACGAAATTTGCCTCACGACTTGAAACACAAAAAGAACTAATGTAAGTGATTTCCATTCTAAACAGAAATACTTAAACACACGAACACTATCGTAACAGAATAAATAGAAAAAGGAAGGACTAGATAACTTATACATTACATACATATTTGGAATTGTTTAGACAATTAAAACTTGGAATACAACGAATTTCAACTAAATGAAACGTATAATTTAAAATACCTGCTAATAACTTTAAGTAAACTATATACACTTGAAAATTTACAACATTGGTATATTACTCATAACACATCTATTAATATTTATGGGTTAAACTCATTCCGATTTTTTTACACTTTACTTTTATTAATCACAGAATAGCTTATTTTAATTTTCTTCTTTATTCTCAAAGTTTCAATAAAGACATGTGAATCTCTCCACGTGTATTCGGCTTATGAGATCAATATGTATCGTACGTCATATTCAGAAGACACAGCTGTGAGATCAGGGATGCCAATCAATGCGCGATAATAAATTATGTATCTATATTGATCTGTGAAATTCAAGTAAATTACGCAAGACAATATTTTAAAACATCATGAGTCAACAATGAAATAATTAATTCAAAATCCTAGTGTGCATTTTTGAATACACGCCAGTAATCAATTAGCTAATTTATTTAAAATTAAAAATCGGCACTCATTAACATCCCTTTCAAGTTTCTGTACATGGTAATGTACATAAATAAGATATGTTGTTTGATATAACCATGTAGTGACTTACCAATTCACATACCTTGATATCTGTACCACAGAGTGGAAGAAAGGTGTATACGGGCAATAAGGAATTACCCCCCCCCCTCAAAAAATGTATGGAAGTGACCTTATTATAAACATGGCATACGTCAAGCCTTGGCAAAGAAACACAAATTTTTCCTTGTAAATTGAATGCACTTTAGCGTAAATGCCAATAGACAGTTTGCATTACATGTTTAAAAATTTATTCTCACGCAAAATAATGCAGGAGAAATTTTGTTGAACAAGGAATATGCATTTTTTTGAACTGTTTAAACCAAACACCGGTAAACAAGGTCTGTGGGTGCAAAATGGATTTAAGTGGCTCAAGTTAGGGTCCAATTGAGGGCCTTTACGAACAGTCATGGACCTTCATATTGCACAAAAGCAAGGAAATTCTTTAACAGTGGAGTAATTTTTCAAGAAAACCTCTAAATCATAAATTTTAATTTGTTTCTGAATGCCACTTGATTTATTTCTTACTCAAACCTTTCATAAACTATAGTTATTTCAAATATGAGTCATTGTAATACAGCGATAAATATATCGTAATTGAGAGAGTAAATTTCCGTTAGGTAACTCATTAGAAAATGCTATTACATATTAGAATGTCTTTCTTCAACAAAAACGAAGGCGTCCCAGAATAGTAAAAGATATCCACAGAGACACTTGTTTACTAATTAAAGAATTTTGTGTAATCTTCAATATAAGGTCTTAGAACTGGGGTGCTCATTATATTATAGGACGCATTAAAATTTGGCCAAGTGTATTTTAGATTTGAGGTTCTAATGGTATTAAGAACGAGCTTTCATCTTCGGGGTTGTAACGTCGTTTAGGCTAAAGATTGAGACAGCGTGTTTCTCTAAAACGGTGGTCTCTAAATGTAGATCCATACAGTGCTACAACCCAGAAGGGTGAATTGTTTAACTTCGCACCGTGTAGTCGCACGCAGACATCAAGGCACATACTGGCTTACTTCAAACATCTTACTTCTTCACAAGATGTGTAATCTATACAATATAAAATAACTAATAATATTCTATTTACATAAAGAGAAGTAGGGACGTCAGAAGGTAGGTGGGAGGTCCCTGCTCTAATAAGTGGAACCCAATGTAACATACCAGAGTTCAACCCCTTCTTCCTCTAGATTTAAAACACTTCTGACGTCTCTGAAGATAAGGCACTTCAGTAAGGCACACAGAAAGCCGTTGAGATCAATATGAGGTAACGACACTTATCATCATTGGTATTATTAAAATGACACAGCTACCACGCATCAGTAAATTAATATTTGGTATCAGAAAGTGTTATGTAACATATAACACTCTGGTTCTAACCCTTTCAACGCTCCATATTTTGATGAAAAAGTTATTTTATTTGTATATTTAAACTGTAACTTACAATCTCTGTCATTTGAAATGTACAGAGGCAGTCAAAGAGGTTTCATTTAAAGACGTCAGACACCAAACTAGTCGGATAAGAATAGTCTGGTGACGGTAAAATACTTTGTAAGATTTGAGGTTTTTACAGCGGTGAATATGAAGATTTCTGTCTTCTGGGTTGTTGCGCCGTGTAGTCTGGTCGATGTTAACCAACGTTTCAGAGGTCATACTGCCTCCGTCATCAGGGCGATGACAGTATGACCTCTGAAACGTTGGTTAACATCGACCAGACTACACGGCGCAACAACCCAGAAGACAGAAATCTTCTCCGGTAAAATACTAGTTGCTTTGGTTTAATATAAGACGTACAAAATGACCTGAAGGTGCAGACCTATTTCTAATACCACGAATTAAATTATGCATGCTAGTATAAATACATTCTGTTTAGCTAAGTACATACTGATGATGTTACTTTACTAACAGTACAAATGTGGTGGATAAACATTACGTATTTATTATTTGGATGTTGCATGGAACATGATGAACAAAAGAGTATGCCTGACTACCCACATGGAACATTTTAACACCCCTTGTTTCCACAACTGCTATCATTCAACGAATTTAGGTGACTGAATGAGACACGTAGGATATAGTTATGATGAAAATTGTATTTACTCTGTAGTTCGTAACGAATCCAGTAAGCTAAGTGGATAACGTAAAGAAATGAGAACTACTGTGCATGGTCAGGTGAGCTGATGATGAAGCATTCACTCCTACGCGTAAAATGAACTCACGTAATATTGTTCGTATTTTGACAGTTAATCGCACAGACCCATTGAGACCTGTAAAACCATGGAAACATCAAAACCTCACACAAAATTATGAAGTGGTGGATTTTCAGTAAAGAGAGAAGTCCTTAATTTTGTCTTACCGGACACAATAAATGTACAGATGTGTGTGAAATAAAATTTTACGTACAAGTTTGTGGAAATTGAAAATTAATTTCCTGGCAATACAAATTCTTTCTGAATGTTCAGTTAAAGGCACGTAAAAATGTTCGATCAGGACCTTGGAATACTTCACGAAGCACAGAATTTTGCGTCTCAAAAGTACACGATGTTTTCCCTACCATCATTCCAGATTTCAAGTATGACAGTATTTTCTCATACAGATTTACTGAACTAGTTTCAGAGATAGCTTCACGAAACAGTCCATCTGTTTGGTTTAATATTCTAATATCTTGGCAAAATATATGACACGACAATCCTCGACAGCCTAAATTCTCTATCATCAAAACTACGCTGTACATACTCAACAAGTAAGTAAGGTGCAGGCAGGACTACATTAACTGCAGAATTATAATTTTGTTACAGCTCAATACCTTGTATTCTTACACTGTGCGTTCATGAATAAAAGACGGTAATACGTTCACATGTAAAGTTAAATTTTGGAAGAAACACTGAATATGTATGCCAATGAAATGTTACCTCCATGCCATCAGCATATCTGGGGGTAGAGTGGTGTAACTATTGTTCTTAACACTAACCATTATATGGAGATGAGTTATGTTCATTCTCCAGCAGTGTTTACTGGATCACAGAACTTCAATATCTGAATCGTGTGGTTTAAAATTATTAAACTAAAAGAATTTCTTTTTCAAAATATTTTGCCAAGCACGTAATTTCTTTGTCCAGTAGTACGCGTCCACACTGAGAGACCCGTTTGCGCGATACTGTCGCTACTTGTCCTTGAAATAAAAAATTAACATGGCTGCTACTGTACAATGTAGGGACAATTCAGTGGTATTCACAAAACAAATTGTTTGGTTAAGAAATTCCATCCTTAGATTGATAATGAAAGAAGTACTTCTCAATTCTCAAAGCGTTAATGTGGGTAGTATATTTAAGATCCAAATCAGAAGTTTAAAATTCGAGCAACTGGTTCTCATTTCATCCAGTCAATTCTGGTTTTATTGCACCACATTTGTCCTTTACCTTGTTGAATTTGTATCAACTGCTTACATTAGTCACGTCTGAAACCAGCTGTCATATTACAATTGTTCTGGGCTTAATCTGTACAGGGCTGTTGGCTTAATTTTACCTTAGATTCATAAGAAAAAATTACATTATTCAGTGGGTACTTAAAAAAGTATTCTCTTAACATTGACAACTAAAATGATGAATTACAATAATTAACAAAGTGCCACGCGGAGCACGGTAAACTGAACGTCTCTGCCGTGATTACTGTCCTAAAACGCAGTGTAAGAATGGGCAATGAAATTAAGTGATCAGATGGAATGTCGACACAGACAACTCGAACACTGCATGAAAGGATTAAAGGCAAGCCTTCGTATCCTGAGACACCTTCTTTCAGAAATAAACATCTTGCACGTCTGTAGGCGTCTCAGGTTGGCCTGTCTCATCAGCCACCGATATCAACTTCCCGGTTGAAGAAGCAGAGCTGCTGACTTTGCTGGTGGTGGCGGGCAGGGGCTGGAGGGACGCTGTCTCCGAGGCTACAACACGTTCGATGTGATGGACGACGTTCTCAGCTGCAGCTGGGTCAACACGAGTCAGTTCGCAAACTGAGGTCAACGCGGTGGCGGCAGAGGGCATGTTGAGACCGCGAACTGCAGCGCTGATGCTGGCGGCTGCTAGAAGAGATGGTCTGCTCTGGATTAACTCCGGCTCTAAAACAAAAGCTCGAATCAGACCAACTTACGTGCATTTCATCAGCACCTCCATGCAAATGCTCGAATTGCACCATAACATAGGTATCGGACGCTTTGTTTCGCATCATTCTAATTCATATATTGAACTCCTCCATTTGATAATTATGACAGTCAGCAAGAATTGTTAGCAGCAGGCTGTGAACAACCGATGCAACACAAATATGCCGAATACCACAAATGTTCGTCTATGCCAAAAATGCCCTTCACTCCCTGGAAGGAAATTACAAAACCTAGAATTTAAAAGTCCTGGTTTCGATTAAAATTGTAGCCACAATTCTTAAAATAAAGCGATCCACTGAAGACGAGACTATACGCAACTCCGTCAGACAACGGAGAAAACCCAACACAAAATGTTGGCATAATGAATCAACTATAGTCACAAATCTTGAGTCATATATGTTCAAACCCTAGTCCGGGTGAGAACCACTGCAGTTCGATAACTTCCCTGTGGCCTTTGATCTACGCGAACGGAAGGAGTAGATAACAGTAGAAGGGGAAAGCAAAATAACGATCTTCAGTGTCGAAAATGGAAGCGAAGATAGAGTGAAGATGAATGTGTTTTGGGCTGTAACGCCGTGTAGTCTGGTAGAAGTTTAAGAATGTTCTTGCCTCCAGCATCAGGGCGATGTGGAAATATTAATGACGATATTTACTGACGTAGTACGTAGGACATCCGAAATTATTCGGCTTGTACAATTCCGTTTTGCAATTAGCTCAGTATGCCTATCGTTCACTTTGACGCCAAACTCATAACATGACAGTCAAATGAAAACTGTAGAAGGCAGGACCCCAACGAAACCGAGATCCTCATACTGAGTAAAACCATGAACACATCAGATTTTCCTGCCAATATTCGAACCAAATACTTCATAGAAATGTGAGAGCCATAAAAACTTGAAATAAGAGAATATTGGAACACTTGGGTTCGAAGGGGCGGGAGGAGTTCAGACTCCGCCGCCCTGGCACAAACTCATTCTTGAATTTAAAGATCTGCTTGATTCTTTTTCTTCCTCGGCTCCCGTTATACAGAAGACGTGGACCTTTAAATCTGTGACGTGAACATACCTGGAGCAGGGATGTAAACAGTCTGGGCTGGAAAGGAGGAGAGGAAGCTGAACAAAGAATTGGGTCGTCGGTCTCAAGACAAAGGCGACCGGTACAAGTCGCTTCACAGAAATTGCATCACGCGCCAACAGGTGCGAGAAATCTCGAGGACGATGGAATAGGATTCAGCCGCGCACATCCTATCTAGATCAGCGGTCCAAAGTGTGAGCCACGGCCCTCTGGGGCCCACAAAGCGTCTTTTCGGGAGAGGGGGTTGATGGTGTCATTATAGAACTGATCAAAATATCCAGCGTTGAGTTATCCACTACACAGAGATTTCACGGTTTTCTGCAGATTATGATAACTCTAAGGCCGCGTCCTTTCAACTACCATTCATCTTAACGTGTCAATTGACCAAACGCTGACGGATGAAAGTCCGAAGTTCTGTTTCATACATAAGGAATACCGGGTCCAAATCTTAGCCTGAATGCCGGATATTACGAGACTTTTCGTGTATTTACTCAGTCCCTCCAAGCAAGGATGCTGTTATCAATTAGATCACACTTGCTGTATTCAGAGTTGTACCCAATCCATCATTAACAATCATCCACCCATTCGACACTGAACAAGTTGCTCGAGGGCAAACGACTCTGGTTCGTATTCGGGAGGTGCTCGGTTCGAATCCTCTACTGGGAAACCGTCTTAATAGGTTATGGTTTTCCTCAGTCCCTCCGAAATGCCGGGACAGTTATTCGAAACAGACAACCACCGATTCCTCCGAATCCTATTAATTTCATTGAAGGAGAATATCTCCTCATATAATCTGAAGCCAAAAACAGGCTAAAGTAAGTCCATCACAGGCACAAGCTCTATTTTGTCCACACAATTGAAGAGGCCCATCCTGTTGAAGTTCTACGAGCCTGTGGTCTTTCACAACTGCATAGCTGCGTAGACCCCAGAGTCATGTTCTTCGGTATACTTTATGGCTGAGGTCGGGGGTGAGAATGGGGGTGACCAGCTACCTGGCAGCAACACCTGCGCAACGAAGCGATCAGCCACGCGAACCACTCTTACGATACTACACTCCATTCCGGAAATGGGGCGACACCCCGTCATCTCAACAGACCTTTAAAAATGGCTGTCTGATCTCATGTTTACATCACCACGTGGTCTCGTCTTCATTCTTCGGTACGAAGGTGATTCGAAATATGAGTAGGTAAGGGTTGGGAAGGGGCTGTCGTGACCTACATGAAGACAGAGCCCACGCATTTGTCTGTTACGATCGAGAAGACTATAAAAAATCTCGGTCAAGATATCCGACAAGCTGACCGAGATTCGAACCGGGTACATTCTTCACATAAATTATCGAGCATTGTCTTTCCACTAATCTCACTGACCTGCTAAGTCTGATTCTGTTTATCACGAAGATACGATCATGCAATCGAAGACTTGCTCCAACGTCTGATCTCCGCGCCAGGAACCTGTGTTTTGTTTCTCCGTTAGCTCGTTATACATCTCTGACAAATGTCATAACAAAGCAGCAGTCGACGTAGCCACAAGGACTTGAGAGCAACCCATTGTCCTTTGCACGAATACGAATTTAAATAGATACAAATCCTGTCAGGATTACAAATAAAATTACAACAAGATTAATTCATATTTTGAATAAACCCACACTTTCAACGATGCAAGAGGTCCCATTGTTGGAGCACGGAAAACAATTTAAACTGAGGTCACTGCAGGAAAACTATACTGAGAACAATGACTTTGGATCACATTAATGAAACAACAACCTAAGATTCCATTGTTGCATCTGTCGCCCTACTGACGTCAATGCTCGTGATGTGTGAAGAACACCTCTGGAATGCCAGTGTACACCAAGGAGTACGCATTTCCAACCCTCTAATTGTTGTTTTCCTCTTTGCATTTTCCTTCGTTCCTTTTTCACTCCTTTCTTTCCTTCCTTCTCCCTGTTTCGTCGACCCTTCCGCCAAGTTTCTTCGTTTCTAAGCGAACGTACATCGGCGTATCTCCACGTTTTCAGGAAACAATAATTATCGCCCCTATATAACTTCGCCATGCCCTTCAGAACTGGATTTTTCGCACTGCGCAGCCTTGAGCAAGCCAAAACTTGCACACACCTCGTTCATATACATAACAATATTAACACCCGGCAGAACGACAGGGTACAGCAAAATGGAAAAGGTACACGAACCTTACTCAAAGGATCTTTCAGACAGGCTTTGTGCAGACAATATTGTAAATGAGTTCAATTCAAACGAGCTACTGTTTGCAAAAGATGTGGGAAAGGAAAGATACTACCCCTAAGGCTTTGAACGAAATGCGTAAACAACGCGAGTGAGACAGTTTCCAAAGCGAATAAAAATAACAGTTCGATGTACCACCACTACCCTCGTGAAAATGCTTTCTTATGCACAGACTCTAGGAAAGGTCGTCGCTCCTTCAGAAAGTTAACTAACCTGATACAAATAAACACGGCTAAACACGGAACATTTACATAACACTAAACTTTTACTACGTAACAAAGCTCAATATGAAGACATTCTTAAAATTTTTCGGAGGCAACTGCAACTTTGCCTTTACGATGTCAAAAGACACAATCACAGATCCAACAAACTGTTTGAAACAGCTGTCACAGGGGTAGCCAACATTTCCCAGCTTGGTCGCCAGAATTTTTTTTAAAAAAAAAACTACACGCCAGCTAATTCTATGTCTCGCTGGCGACTTTCTCTCCGCCTGTCCATCCATCCATGTAAAGGGCACGTGTCACATATTACATCATCTCATATGTTAAAAAAATATACAAAACATAACACAGGCAGAATTTTTGTCGTTGTTTCGTACAGTTTGAAAATATATCATGTCCTGATCGAAGTGCATAATTTATACGTACTTGGTAACGAGTTAGTATGGAGAATGAGAACTAAGAAATAATACAAATCTTAAAAATTAGAGGAGCTGTGATTTATAATCTCCTCTTAGTTTTGTCAAAGCAGTTAAATCAACAAACTTAAGGTGGCAGTCAATAAACCCTACAGATCAGATAAGATACACAGTTTTCGTAGGGAAGCCTCTTGGAAAAACAAACCATTGGAAGATAGGCGAATGCGGGCATTAAGAAATAGGCGTCGGTGATTTAGAACGACTGAGATCCAATTACTGGCTTCTATTTCAGCTGTGTTAAACCTGCGCTTAATATCAACGCAGATAATTAATTTCGGATAGTGTCTTGAAATAATGAATCCAAATTTCTTTATGTAATTCCATAAATACGTCTGAACATTTCAATTAAAATGTAAGCTACTACAAACCATACGAATATATCCATCAGTAAATATTATAAGTTTTAATGTTGTTATTATGTGCATTCATCGAAATGGGGGCAGAGATTTGTGTAAAATATTATCACCGTGTGAAATTGGTTCGTACATTTGCGCAAGTTTATTCACTTCTTTCATTCCCAGTCAACCCTATCATTATCGACTTTTTTTATACCTTTCCTGTTCATACACATGCCTACACAAACACAAAGCCTTTGAGATGCACAAAACGAGACAGCCCCAGTGGAGATGAAACAGAATGGTCCTGTTTCCGGTTAGTCATCACGCCCATTAGCCCCTTGTCCTGAATATTACAATATTCTCATACAATTGGAAAGGAGAAATAATCCCACGACATAATATGCACTATGCACATTAGTACATAAGTGTAATGTCATAATTCCAGTTTAGGCTCGTATGGTAATGAGAAGGAAAATATCTTTCTTAAAACAGAGTTACGTTTGTATTATTTTCGATAATCTTTTAATTGGTTCAATATGTGCAAATTAAAACTAAGAAAGATAACAATTACAATTAAATGGTCTACAGAGGACTAGTAACAAATGAAACAGT